AACACGGGAGGGAAGCTAGTGTGTTTAAGAATGTCTGAAATGAAATCATTATGGAGACTGACTGTAAGGAGATGACAGATTAATGCGCTCTTTGCTACTCGAAAACCGAGCCTCAACTGAACCGGTTTGGTTCTGTCTGGCACAGTCCGGTTCAGTTGTGTGCACCATTTACCCCAAAATCCCACATCCTCCATCACCCCACACCCCACCCTCCGCTGTTCCTCCCGTCTTGTCCACACCGACTTCCTTTCAGTTTAAAAAATCCCCATCAGCATCCAGCATATGTGCAGTTTCTGGCCTAATATTTTCTTTTTGTTGTGGAATTCTGTAACAAAGTTTCTTTTGCCTGGACGTGATTAAACCTTTAAACCTCTAGGTATAAAATAAATATTTTGATGGAGATGAGAAATCTGCTTCCTGGTATATTGAAGTACCAACAGTTTGCATCCAATCATTAAATTAAACGGCCTTAGTTTTTGGGAATATGTAAGAATTATGCTCTAATTTGTAGTTACTGATCTATTGTTACTATATTTTACTTTGACAGACCGGATATACTCGCCGTTCTTTTTCCTGTTTGGTGCGATTGCAATCACGGATCTTGACCTGGAAGGGCCGGAGCAAAAAATAGCTCAGCTCCGTATTTTGACCGTTACAGACATAGAAGATGTACGTGGACGGTGATGTGCAGAGGAGTAGCGGTGGATGTGGAGGACCTCTCATTGATTAACTAGCAATAATCAGCAATGTAAAGAACTCTGCTGGTCATATTCAGCTTAAATGTTCTTACCTTGGTGTTATAGGACAGAAGTCATCTCCTTTCTCTTGGTCTTTGATGGAAACTAAAGGATTTTCAATCATCACTAAGGAACAAGAAATTGATTTGTTAAAAATATGAAAAAGATATTTGAATAATCTATGCAACATCTATAACTAAGCAACAACATTTTTAGCAGTAGCTATAAATTAGGATTGCTCAACTTATTTTCTAGACATATTATTTTTAGTTTCCAATTAATTGTTTTAATACAGATAACGGAGGGAGGGAAGGACGCATATCAGCGACTTCCTTCATTCCTTTCTGAATGCAGATTTCTTAAAGACTTTTAAGGACGACTCTTCTGCTTAAAAGGGTTTTTAATTTTGTTTTTGATTTATAAATGAACATTTTCATAATAAAATAGCTGCACAATCGTTCACTATCAATATATATTGGCATGTTATTCAATTCAACAGTGATATGACTTATAAACACATTTCCAGTATTTTGATACATATTACAGCCTATGCCTACAGTGTTGCTCACACATTGATTCATTTTGATTTTATTCAGCTGATTCTTCTAGTGATAAAGGCTTAGTTCGCTCTATAGACGCGTTAATAATGTCAACATTCACTGTGCCTGGGATAAAAACATGGTTCAACATGGTTTATCATGGTTTATCAAGGCAGATGTTTCAGAACTGATTGGAGACCTTCAGTTTAAATACTCAGAGCTATTTATCGGCTGTTTTTCTGACTTCCTCTAGTGATTTGTAAACATGCACTTACAGGCTAAGGTGAGTTTTTCTTCTTGAATGTAGAACATTAGAGGTTTGAACAGACATCTGTTGAGGCTTTCTTAGCAGCCTTTATGATGATTTCATATTGTCTGTGACAACAGAAAATTTGAAATCTATTGTAGGTTTTGGCCCTATATAATAGAGAAAACAATGTAATACAAAATGGAAAAAAAAACTAAAAATATGATCCAAACAGCAAATAAATATATAAAAACCAGACCTGGAGAGAATAAATGTAACATTTTGGGGAATAAAGAGATTCCCAAGGATAAAAACAAGTGTGTTTAAAAAGCTGAAATAAATGGATTTTGCATTATATGTCCCCTTTAAATCAAAGTCAATAGTTTTTCATGTTCAGAAACTACAAAAATAGAACTTGTTTGGGGCTGTGAAAGACGTTCTCACCTGAGTCTCCAACAAAGCTGTCGACCAGCCCGCTGCCGTCTGCGTCATCTCCCCAAACGTTCACAGTGATGATGTAGTCTAGGGAGTCTCTAATGGTGAAGCCAGAAGTTGATCAGCCAATCTAATGATCTGAAATCAGGGGAGACACAGATGTTTTTATAACGCAGTAGGCTCATTACACCGATGCTCCACACAGTGAGGCATTTGACTGATTTTTGAGGTGACTTTGTCTATTAGGAAAGCCATTCAAAGTTGGTCACATATAATTCCCTTTTAAACATCAATCTTTGTACTGAAATATTCTGTCATGATTAGTGGACATTAACAACTAGAAAGAAGCGTAATCTCCTGGTCAGGCTCTATAGTTCAGTGAAAGGGTGGAGTCAGAGTAAAAAAAAAAGAAAGAAAAACCTGAAGAAACAAATCACTAAAGAATTTTAAACACTGATTTTTTATTTTTTGTTTTAACACATTGAATTCCTTACACTGAATTTTCATCTGGTTGAATTTCGCCTGCAAAAAATTCAGCCAAAGCAATCAACACTTGATGCAGTCCAGCAGCTTTTAGCCAATGAAATGAGCTCATTTGGTCAGATGACACAATGGTTTGGCATAGATTTGGCCGAATGAAGCTGAATTAGGAGTTTTTGTTCTTTAATAGATATCATTACAAAACTTGAGGTAGCTACTAATAGACAGCCATTAGAGTTTTTAATCTCATAGAACTGGGTGAAATAACTGAGCTGATCACAGCCAGTGCAGCACCCCTGTCTGCCAAGGCTCTTGGTTTGCTCCGGAAGAAGTGGCTGGGGGCAATGTTTTTGTTTTTCTCACCAAATGAGCTAAGGGAACTGCCTGCAGTTCACCAAAAGGTCAACACAGTTGCATTTGAAATTTTTATAGGCAAATCTTTTGCAATCAAAATTTTTTGCAATTTAGTTTTCACCAAATAAAAATTAAGTG